CCCGTAGCAAAAAGTATGTGAACAATGGCGAGCCATAAGACGCAGCCCGCTGTCTGCGCCAACACATCATTAAACAGGAAGTATATCACGGCCCTTAGACAATGTTGGATATTGGTAAAAAAAAAAATTAAAAAGCCAATATCGAGCATCTCCAGTTGTTTCATTTTCATAAATCAGTGTTACAGGTCTTTTCATACACTTTCTAAAAATTTTACCAACAAAATACAAAGTAAAAAAAGGTTTTAACCAAACTCCAATCAGCATTATTTTCCTGGCTCTACTTCCATACTGGTTATGATGCTTTGGTACACGCTTCTCTTGTCTGGTTTCTGTGTTGATTTTGTTGAACCACTAATAAGAAAAACTGAATAGACTCAACAACACAATAAAGTGTTGTGAGCTTTGAAAACTGGAAAAGCATGTGGGAGGAGCCAACAGCCACCTGCAATATGAGTGACAGTGTGAAACTTTTAATAATAACCTGCTTCTCTTACAAAAGCAAAGGTAACATTATTGTGCTTTTGACAGCACGTGTCAGTTTTGTTGTAAAATGATGGTTCAGAAATCTCATTCACTTGCAGAAACGTTTAAAACAAATCTGTGCATAAAATGTGACCATAAATATATCTTTTAAGTACTTCAAAACAAGTTAATAGAATGCAGGTATTTGGATTTCTTAAGCTCATTTCTATCTTCAAATGAAAACAACGTACTAAAAAAACAAACAGAAATCTGTCTTTCTAAATGAATCTTGAGTGAAAAAATAAATTAAAATAAATTAAAAGTAAAACGTATTATTTGTTCCTATTTTCCACAGTAACCATTAGTTTTGGACTTAAATTTGCTTTAAGTTTTTTTCTTTGCGGGTCATTAAAGCTACTGGGTCTGCAGAGGGTCAGAAGTATCCATCCGTGGGGGCACAAAGGGTCATTGTCAGGTTTCTGGGATACCGGAATCCTGGGAACTTTTATCCCCCTCTCTGATCTGCACTCATGAGTGTTCCTGCTCCTGATTTCACATGAAGCCAAAGAAAAGGGGCCAGAAATAAAACAACAGCACAAATGAAGTGATATGAATTTACAAGTGTTCAGATGTACGTTCATAATCTCCAAGGGCAAAAGGATAACTTATTACAATACACATACAGTAACAAGCATTAAAGTGTACGTAAATGAAATGAAGTTAGAGTCAACAGTAGCAATCAGAAAATGGCTAGCTAAATAATATGGTTTCTCAAGAAAACAGTTGAATACAAATGATGGGAAGAGCAAACGAGAAAAGTGTGCAAATGTGCAACAAACACAAAGAAAAACAAAAAATCTAATCATCAAGTAATATTTTATCATTAGTTGTTATTGAAATAACATTTTAAGAGTGACACCCCCACCCCCTATGGCAGGGCTCTCACTTTTAATTGCATTTAAACACTTCTGCTTTTGTTTATGTGAAAGTCTCATAGAGAATATAAATTTTTAGACAAAAGCGTCTGCTAAATACGTAAACATAAACACAACATAAACATAAATTTGTGCAAAAAATGTAATAATTCTGCATTAAACTCAGACTGTTTAACAGCTGTTTTGACTTTTAAATTAATTCATCAATATCATCCATTCATTTTCATCCACTTATCGAGGTTCGGGTCACGTTGGCAGCAGCCTTAAGGTTGGTTTATGCTTGACGCGTCCGCGAGGTTCGCACGGCTCCGCGCGTCATTTTAACAATCACGCCCCTCCGCCCCTCCTCCGCACGGCTCAAACTTTTCGTACCGCGCACCTAGGAAATTTTCTAACCACGCGGACAGTCAGACGCGGAAAAACATGGTGGACTGGCAAGAACTAGTATGGCAGAGGTTCGTAAATACAGACATTTGTATGATTCAGCTCTCAGAGATCACCGTGATCAAAATGTTGTTAATAATTCTTGGAGAGAAATAGCTCGCACTGTTGGAAAAGACGAGAACGCTGTTAAAAATGCTGGAATGCCACGTTGTAAACAACAGTAATTTTTACTTCTACTATGGTGTAGTGTTGGATGCATGCCATAGAGCTCCATGCTGCCCCTACAGTTTGGGAGAATATTGGCTCACCGCAGAGACAAGCCGCATGAACCATAAACGCTGCAAGTTGTGAAGCGCGTTCCATCCGCGAGCCGCATCACCAAGCGTTAAGTAAATGCGTCAAGCATAAACCAAGCTTAAGCAGGGAGGCCCATACTTCCCTCTCCCCAGCTACTTGGGTCAGCTCCTCCAGGGAAATCCCAAGGCGTTCCCTGGCCAGCAGAGGGACATAGTCCCTCCATCATTTCCTGGGTCTTCCTTTAGGTCTTCTCCCGGTTAGACGTGCCCAGAAAACCTCACCAGGGAGGCGTCCAGGAGGCATCCTAATCAGATGCCCAAGCCACCTCAACTGGCTCCTCTCGATGTGGAGGAGCAGCAAATCTACTCCGAGCCCCTCCCGGATGACCAAGTTTCTCACTCTATCTCTAAGGGAGAGCCCAGCCACCCTGCAGAGAAAACTCATCTCAGCCACTTGTACTAGCAATCTTGTTCTTTCGGTCACTACCCAAAACTCATGACCATAGTTGAGGGAATAGATTGACCGGTAAATCGAGAGCTCCACCTTTCAGCTCAGCTCTCTCTTCACCACGACAGACCGGTACAACGCCCGCATCACTGCAGATGCAGCAACAGTCTCCTGCTCCATCTTACCCTTACTCGAACAAGACTCTGAGATACTTAAACTCCTCTATTTGAGACGGAACCTCATCCCTGACCCGGAAAAGGCATTCTACCCTTTTCCAACTTACGACCAAGGTCTCGAATTTAGAGGAGGTGATTCTCACCCCAGCTTCTTCACACTCGACTGTGAACCACTCCAGCGTATTCATCAGTATTTTTCATTTTTATTGTTGTTGTTTCTCAGGTTATAAACATTGTTCTATAAATAAAATCATATTCTTTTTTTACTTTTATTTCTTTATTTTCTATGACAGAGTTTTTGTTGGTGAGCTGTGATTTGAGCTATTGTCTTTATTTATACAAAACCAACAAAAACAGACAAATTCAAATGACTCCAGAACTAAATGTTCAGAGTTGGATGACCTTGTTCATCGCAGACTCCGACTCTCAGAAAATATTACTAAAATCTTTTCTGTGCAAACAGAAGCAACACCACAGCCAGGGTCTGTTGTAATCCCAACTCAACGGGTCTTTGATGTTGTGCAGAACACACCATCTTCCTGAGCCTGAGCACTCTTCTTCCTCCATAGCCTTTGCTGTGTGAGGCATCTGACTCCGACCCAACCTTGACCGTCCGGCGCATGTACTGACTCTCTGGCTCTGTCACTCTTACACTTTGTGGATAAAGCTGTCACCGACACATCCTCTCAGGAAGTGTACTCCGGTTCAAATCTGCCATGAAATGCTTCTTATCGGTGATAAAACAAATCCTTTAACCTTGCACGTTGCCTCAAGGGCCCCATCAGTGTGAGAAAGAAGACTGTTTGACTTCACATGTGAAGATGGGAGTGAGGTGGGGGTGGGAGGTGGGTTCAGGCCTGGGCCTGGACAGGGAGGAGAGGAGAGGATAGCACAGGTGACCTTGGCTGTTTAATCTGTGTGTAGATAAGTGTGTTTGGGTCCAGGTGTGGGAAACCAAGTAGCCACACAGACCAGGAGCCACAACAAGTGTGATGCAGAACATGAAACGGGTGGAGGCTGGGTTCTCAGAGATAAAGCTGTCCTAAAGAGGAAGTACAGGCTTTGCTTTAGAAAATAAACTGCCATGCTGGACGGTATCTAATCTCCAGAGATGATGGGAAATCCATGTTGTCAGCATATACCCATAGTTTGTTCATTTAGAAACTATAATTGCACCTTCCACCTTATTTGCAGATGATACAACTTTTTACCATTCAGGAGATAATGTTGAGCAGATGATAGAAGTGATACAGAGATGAAAAAAGTTAAACTATGGTTTGATGGGAACAAACTATCATTAAACAGTGATAAATCATGTTTTACGATATTTAGTAATGCATATTCAAGTGATGAAATTTTATTAAATATAGATGAGATTAATATTAAAAGAGTTAAAGAAGTCAAGTATCTGGGAGTCATCATTGATGAAAAAATGTCTTGGAAGCTGCATATAAACAGTGTCAAAACTAAAATATCTAAAACTATTGCACTGTTACATAGAGCAAAATGGTTGCTTGATAATAATTCACTATATTTGTTATATAACTCACTGAGCATACCGTACCTGAACTACTGCATTGAAATCTGGGGAACAACATATAAAAAATACACAAATTCCATTTACATCTTACAGAAAAAAGCAATAAGAATAATCACAAGGAGCAACTACAGAGATCCATCCAATCCATTATTTATAAAATTAAAAACATAGAAATTCTATGATCTGGTGGACTACATTATTTTAAAATGTATGTATAATACAAACAAAAGGAACGTACCTGCAGGATTAATCAAAAGATTTTCAAAAAGACATAGCAAATATGATTTAAAAGGACATGAATTATTTAACATACCTAGACATCGGATACTCGTAGAGGAACATTGTGTGTCCATATATGGAGTTAAATTGTGGAATAAATTAAATACTGAAATCAAGAATGCAAAAACAATATTGATTTTCAAAAAAGAGATAAAAAATGAAATGATTAACTTATATAGATCTGTTACATAAATGTGTGAGGGGAAGGGGGTTGGGGGGATGAAAGGAAAAATAAAATAAAATAAACTAGTATGTATTCATATGTGTATATATGTATGTATATAGATCTATAACTTAATGCTTCTTTCTGTGTAAATTTTCTTTTTTTTTTTCAAATTCATGGGTTGAGATTGTGTCGGCCAACAAGTCCAGGAACTATATTGTTCAATTTGTTTAAGAATCATATGATTATTTCATTTGTATTAATGTTTTTTTTAGTTAAAAGGGGCAGACAACATAAGTTTTTCTTCTTTCTGTCCCCTTTTTCATTTTGGCTTGCAGCAATTTAGTTCTGTATTTTTATTTTAATGTCAATAAATGAAAATAAAAGATTGAAAAAAATTAATGCAGAGAAAATGTTTAGACCTTATTCAGCCTGATCCTGCAGGATTGACGGTTGTCCCTGGCTCTGCCTCCTTCTTAAACCTGTTTCACATAGAATGTGGCACGAGGCCGCATGGATTTCGCACTGACTGCAGTTTGTGTTCAGAAATCTGCTCCCACAAGAGCACCTGATGATAAGAAATACTGACACAATACGTTTAAACGTAGACCTGTAAAAAAAAAAAAAAAGCAAAAACTGGCAAATTTAATACAACATGTGTTTTATTTTAAAATAAACTGGATGCACCTGGCTGAAACACGTCTCACTTCCTGTCTGGCTCAGATAACTTCTTCAGCTTCATGACTATCCATGCAGAAGCTTTCCAGAGCTCCACATCCAAATCCACGCTGCGCCGTAGCCGGTATGAATGTTCTGATTGGACTCAGTGATGAATGATCGTTGTGGAAACCACATGGAAACCAAACCACATCCGCTGGGGAGCAGGTCCAACAAAACGGTCACCTGAGCGTGGAAAACGCACAGATTACCCAGATGTGAACACAGTTAACCTAGCAGATCTGAGCCGATCCAGATGTGAAAGTCCCATTGGACCTCTGCAGGACATCAAGTCACTGACTTGTGCCGGTGACTTGATGTAATCCGCTGGGTTTACTTACATAGGAAACATAACTGATAACTCAATTATCAAATGTCTTGAGACAAACTTTAGTAGGTTGTGTTAAAAACAAAAAAGTGAAGCTCCTGTGGGAGATGTCAAACTATAAGGCGCTTTGTGTCAAGATTATAATCTTTAAAAGGTCATACCCAGGACTGCAAAAGACCATCTCAAAATAAAAAGTGCAAAAACAAAAGAAAGAAAAGTTTCAAAAGGTGCTGAGAATAAATTAAAGATACAGAGAAGATGCGGATAGATTTGAACCCCGAGGATAATGTGCAAAAACTCATTTTACTGCAACGTTTTGAGAAGATGCTGAACTTACTGGGGAGCAAAGTGTATCAGGTGTATGTTTTTCTGAACACCCTGTTCCTCTGTCATATATGGAGACTACAATTTGAACCTTCATCAGCCCTGAGGGGAAGGAAAAGGTGCACACCCACTGATTTATGTAGCGTACTTGAGCATGTTGTGCTTGTGTAACTGAGGAGCAGCTAAGTGAATCAAAGGTGAAAGATCCTGTTGTTTTTCTGAGCTGAACGCCACAATGTTTAAAACACTCTAAAACAGGCAAATCAACAACGTGGGGAGGTGGCTGGAGAGGATAATCCAGGAATGTTTTGTCTTCCTAAACTCATGACCCTTCCCCTCTGTGGATTCAGCCTTACTTGCACAGAGCTCTTACACACACCCACATGCATGTGCGCACGCACGCACGCACGCACGCACACACACACACACACACACACACACACACACACACACACACTGAGGCTTTTGCTTTGTGACTCCTAGGGCTGCTAATTACTGAGCTTTGCACATAGATAAAGGAAAGATACTCTCTCCATTCAATTGTTTTAATCCCCTTGTTTACAGGCTGCAGCAGGATTGACATCAGGGAGACTGTGCAGGAGTTTCTTCTTCATCTGTGTGACATTCAGTTTATAACAATGCAAAAAATGTAAATGACCAGATGGAAAATCAGTCCTCATACTTCCATCTGAAATAATTTACTTGATTACAAGTCAAAAAGACACATTTATGCAGCTTGTCCCTAACAAATGTGCGTTAGGACATGAGGGTCACTTAAAGAATTAAACATATTATTTCACTCGTTAAACTACAAAATGCTCAAGATTCTTTCAAAGTACCACATTATGAGCAAGTGAGTTTCTTTGTAAAACTCTCCAAAGGTTGTCTCAGTCTTTATAGCCATAACAGTCACTGGCAGGGTCCTAGGTTAAAAAAAAACTGTTGGATCAGAAAATTTTTCTGAAAAGGGACTATTTACTGCAGATAACAGATTGGTAAACCATTTAAAAACCACACCATGGCATGAATTTATAAAACATATTTAAAGTCATTGGTTAAGGGATTAAAGACTATCTCAGGGATTGTCTTAATCCTGCTTTCAGATTGTCCTTGTAGAGAATACCACCTCTGTAGGTGCAAGAGATTGGAATTTCCTTATTCCAGAAAAGATTTACAATTCTTCATTTACAAGCTGACAAACTCCCACACCCTCACAATGCTGTCAAAATCACTTTAGCTCCCCTCACTTGCCTATTTGGTCAAATTTAATCCTATTTATTCCCAAGATTGAATCCCATTGTTCCTGTTTGATATTTGGAATATGTGAATTGGTTTTTATTTTTGGTGCCACCTACTGAGTTGAAATCGTAGTACAGCCGAGTGGTGCTGCATGTGTGCACTCACAGAGCTGCACCGTAGGTAGGTTAGTGGGATGAGAAGCTGTTGACTCGACCTCCTCTGCACCCACAGACAAAGGAGAGACGTCGGTGTTGTGCACGGCACCTGAGAAGAAGTGGGACAAGTGTTAGGAAAGGCATGTGTTTGCCGCCAGTTGGCGTCAGACATCGTGACTACCATAAAGAGATCTGTTTTGACTAGATTCCACCACCCTTAGTCCTTCAGACCTGTGACATTTAATCTGACTAAGACCTCATTTACTCTGTTCACTGGGCAACAACATTCCTCAGATTAACAGCAAGCCTGCTCAACGAGCTCTTAGCTGAGCAGAGCAGCGTGCACCTCTCTACCCAAGCATGCAAACCAAAGCCCAAGGTGATGAATAATCTAAGTACGTTTCCAGTGTGAGCCAAAATCTCTCAGGTTCAGGCTACCACACGTATGCTGGATGGAAAAAACCTTACAGGGTTTGTTTGCAGTCCATCAGTGGGGCAGGTTTTATTGTGAGGATATTTGCCATGCAAATCCAGAACTGCATGTAGGCAGGCAGGCACGTTCCTCTCTGGCTGCAGGGAAGTGGATGAGGGGAGTGTTTACGCTCCTTTTTGACACGGGGAGGTTTTGTTTAGCCCATAATCTTGCTGATCTATGACAATGTGGTGAGAAAAATCAGATGGAAAATGAACAGTGATCATAAGACAGTTGCACATAAATCCTGTTTGGAAGTTCTACTTGAGTTCATTGATCCACATTCACATGTTTTATGTACACTCAACAAAAATATACACGCAACACCTTTGTTTCTGCTCTGATTTTTCATGAGATGGACTTTAAGATCTAAAATTCATTCCAGATACACAATATTACCATTTCTCTCAAACATTGTTCACAAATCAGTCTAAATGTGTGATAGTGAGCACTTGTGCTTTGCTGAGATAATCCATCCCACCTCACAGGTGTGCCACATCAAGATGCTGATCCAACATCATGAGTAATGCACAGGTGTACCTTATAGTGCCCACAATAAAAGGCCACCCTACAGGCCACCTGTAACAATGAATTTTAGATCTTTAAGTTCATCTCATGAAAAATCGGAGCAGAAACAAAGGTGTTGTGTTTATATTTTTCTTGAGTGTAGATTCAACAAATGCACTTTCACTTCAGGGCATGAAATAGAAAATATATTTTTACTTGTTATTTCCTGGATAAGAAAACAGCAAAATAAATAAATAAATAAATAAATAAAATGCAATTGTCATTGAAAATATTTGTCCACTAAACTAAAGAAGTCTTTTGATATGTGTTGAATAATTCACTTTTAACCATTTTACTAAACTGTTTCCGAAATATTTGAGATGCTGTGGGGAGTAGACAACAAACAGAGCAGTACCTAATTTTTCAATCGTTTCCTCTACAAATTTATTTAGATGTTTTTCATCGTCATTCGTGTGTTGTTGTGTGATCATTAACATGCCTCTTATAATAACAAAACGTTTGAGAGAGAAGCAAGAAGACCCCAAGAAAAGTGAATTACAGAAAAGTAAATTGTCAAATGCCTAACATAACATTATATTAAAAAGAAAGTCACCCACAGATCAACTTTTTTTTCTGATAAACTAGATAAATATGTGTCTAATCGTGCTGCAGACACGTGTAGTCAATAATTTTGCACTTTAGTGCGTTTTAGGTTAAATTTAAAATTTCTGCCTAAAACTGTCAGTACTGTGCTGTTGTCAGGTAAAAACTCTGCACTGCAGTTGAATTTAAATCTGCCATCGCTAATGGCTAAGAGGCACCCTTAGCTGGTACGATATGATGTCACAGCGTCGTTGTGAGTCTCTCTGTGTGTATTTGTTAGCGGCTCCGCCCTCTCTGTCTGCTAGGCAACAGCATTTGTTGCTTTTTTCAAACAGGAAGTGGGAGTGGAGTAATACTCTGGTAGGAGGTGACTTGCTCTTTAATATATCAAAAAGGTCAGTAGCAGCAGTCATAAAACAGACATAATTCTGCTGCAGATCTCACTCTGAAATACCTCAGAAGCGATTTTCAAAGATGTTTCATTGCTGTTTCCACAAATGCAACTTATTGTGACACAAACATGGTCCAGAAACAGAGATCTCTTGGATAAACTGAGGCAAGGTGTTAAACCATTTATTGCCTGATAAATCCAAATTTCCAACTCAGATTCTTTTCCAACAGGTTTTTAAATAACATTCGACTAGTTGTCAGCGCACAGTTCAAAGGTAATCAGTTTTAATGATGTGGGGATACATTGGTGCAACATATTGGTGGAACTTGAACAATTAGAATATGGTGCAAAAGTCAAGTTTATTGCAGTAATCCATCTTAGACTGAGAGACCACCTAAAGGCTCAGGTACCCTTTGCAGGTGGTTTGGATTCATTACCTGATTAGAGACCTTGAGTGTAGAATATTGAAACTTCACAATGTTCCAATCGTCTGAGATTTAGAATGAGGAGTTTTCTTGAGCTGTGAGCCATAATCATCACATTTACAACAAAGAAAGGCTTAAGATATCTGGATTTGCATGAAATGAGTCTGTCTCATACATTAGTGTCACCTTTTAAGTTGAATTTCCAAACAACCCTCTAGTTTTAGTGTTTAAGATTAAATGGTAATGCTTCATTTTGACACAATAAATAGCTGGACTCGTATTTGCCTGGTCTGTTATCCATGCTGCCGGAGCCGCTCCGGATCCGGTTCCCGGTGCAGCAGGAGCAGGCGGCCGTGTGTTCCGGGTTTTCCCGCAGACCGAGTGTGGCCCAGCTGAGGTGACTGGCAGGACTTGTTTACTGCTGGAGAGACTCGCAGAAAGAGAGAAGGAACGGGGGAACCTGGGGGAGAGAGCCGTCTCTATCGAAACGCTACGGGAATACAAGTTTTTAACACTTGACCCACCTTTTTAAGTTCTTTTTTACCTCATCTTTTTATTTCACTATACGGGATACTCACTTTGTGAGCGTGTTTTTATTATTTTAACTCCGATGCTGAAACCTGGTTTGTTTTGGATTAGCCTGCTAGCGTTAGCTGTTTCCCCCCAACAGCTAATCTGAGAAAAGCGACGGGCGGCAGCATGCGCGGAGAGTTCTCCACTTAACGGATACGTGCGGGTTCAACACGGATGTTATTTGATATTTCCCCCCTCTCTTTTTGCATCTGGGGAAAAGGGTACAGTTCAACCCCCGAAGTTGGTTCCCCTTCTCCTGTTCGGTTCTGATGCGTTAGTGGCGTGGTGGTCAGCGGGGGTGAACGGGGTTCAGAGGAAGGTCGGTGTGTCGGAGGAAAGCTGCACGTTTTTCCTGCCGCAGAGTTTCCTGGGATGTAATTCTCTCATCGGTCTTAAAAAGGAGGGAGCGAGAACTTCACGAAGGAGCGATCCAGTTGATCCGCAACTTTCAGCTCGTGTCTGCGGGAGGAGCAGAAGACTCGAGCATCTGTGCAAAAACAAAACAAGTCAGAGCTAAGTGGACCTTACAACTGGACCTCCAGGCTGTTTTCTCTCGACTTAAACGGAACTTCAGACAGAGGAACATGGACTGTCACCTTCACTTGTGGAAAATGGTTTTTACACGCACTTGTGTGACCAGAACCCAAGATCACATTATTTAGTGGCCTGGATTTAATTTTGTTTATTATTATTATTTTTGGAAAAGGCATTTTAATCCAATTGGACTTTCATTATTTCTTGCCTTTTTTAATATCCACCCAGAAATAAAACATTTTAACTCAACGTTGGAGTTTCTGAAAGAGGAGCACACAAAGTCCAAAATGAGGCGGTTAACGCCAAAACTGCGGTCGCAAATGGTGTTTTTTATCATCTGCACCTGCATTATATGCCATTGTGGACTAATAACTGGAGAAAGTAAGTTTCCCATTTAATTTTATTTTAAATGTGGCTCTGTTGCTCGTCTTCTGCACCTTTCTGCCTTATTTTGAAACGCTCAATTTTAGTTTATCATGATTATTTGCATGTTTACAAACAAAATGAGCAAAGCATAAGACGCTATTGTGTCATTTACATGTTACGATTTAGTTTTAAAGTGTGTTATTTTATTAGAATAAGCAACGAGGTCCTTCTAGAAACCTGATTGAATTCCCGATTATTTGTTGTTTTCGTGTCACGAGACTCGCCTACGTTTTGGCGCATGCTCAGACATGCGCAGCTTTAATTGTGAGGCTAGTAATTTCAGCTGTTGTAATTGATAATCCTGTGAGGTTACGGTGGAGCGTCTCCCCGCCCTCGTGCACAGTCTCGTGTGTATTTTAGCGGCCTGCGCTCGGTGCGCCAGCCGGAGGGCAGGATGCTGGACCGGGGTGGTCCGTGGCAGTGAGCCCGAACTGGGGCAGCAGGATCGGCCTTGTGTGAGTCCAGAGAGGCCTCTCCTGGCCACGCACACTCATGCACGCGCGGTGCGCTGCAGCAGCCAGGGTGTAAACAAATTATCCCCCGACGCTAAAAAGCCTCCTCACAGGCGGCGGATGAGTCCAGGCTGCTCTGTAGCACCAGATCGGGCTAAAGCAAAGAGGTCGTCCTCTCCAGACGTCTGCAGCTTTCATCAGTGGATAGATATAGCCGACTTGTAAACAGCTCAGCTGCGTTTGCAGATCGAGGAGATTAATCCCGCTCTGTCTGAACAACACCAGCGGAATAACGATCACAAGCGACAGCTTTGTTTACACCAGGCTTTTGTTTAGGTTTCATGAAATCTGAACTTAAGTTGACAGAGGAAAGTTATATTTCCAATTTACCACAATTTAATGTTTTGCTACCCAGGACTCGGACCTTTTTGATAAACAAATTAAAGTTTTTCTCAAGGCACATGCAATTTTTTTTCTTTTTACAGTTGGTTTTTATTATTTCATTCAGAATATTTGGTAAACTGAAGAGGTGAGCAGTTTAGCAAAAAATAACACTTTTCCCATCTCTTTAGAAAGATGATGCATCTGTGCTGCTGTTTTAATTTTTCAATCGATAGTTTAAAAAATTCAAAGACACAACATTGATTGGTGTTTATTTGCTGTAGTTTTTTTTAGGTCAACACGACTTATTTTGACCCCCACTCAAATTCTAAATTTCTACACGATCTGCTGTCATGACATGTCAAATGAGAACAGCAACCCAGGTCTCAGAAAAATTGAAAGATCTTCAGAAAGTGTAGAAAACTGTTAAAAATATCTTCAAAAATACAAGGTTTGTCTCCTTGAAAGCTAATAAGAGGTGACTAAAACCAGTACCAGGAGAATTGTAATCACACTGGAAATCTGTAGGAAACTGTTAAAAAGTATCCTTCACAAGTCAATGTCATGTATACATTTTACATTTTAAATAAGGTGTTATCGTTGTTGTAATTTACAATAATCTGATCGATGTAGGACGAGAGGAAACCTTTCTCAGTTTACGCATCTTGAATAAATCAGACTTGTTAAAACTGAATTACAGTTAGGGCTGCTCGATTATGGCAAAAATAATAATCACGATTATGGTGACTGAAATTGAGATCACGATTATTTAGGACGGTTTTTCAATTTATGTTGATTTCATTTGTTTTTATTCAGTCATAAAACTGCTCAGGGCACAATCAGGACAAAAATAAATAAGAAACAAGATGATCACTAAAATAACTCCCGATTCCCAGTATAAAAAGACCAATATACTTATAGCTCATAGTTTATGACCCAAGGGCTATAGACCTTGGTTTAGCTCATTTATGTCTAACCAGTACAGACCCAAATACCAATATCTTGCAAATACTGACAGCAAGAATTATACAGTGGCATTTATAACAAATAAATGCAAATAAATTGATGTTCACAAAATATTGCATAATACGTATTTAGTCGTGTCACGGTGCTGTAGGAGAGTGCACTAGCACCGGGTCCTCAGAGAGATGAGTTATTATTTATCAGCGTGAGGAACTTATTTCTACCTTATTTATAAACTATTTATTTACAGGTCCATCAGTTAATGTAATAATTGTCCCAACCACAGCTGCACCCCCCACCCCCCACCCCCCAACCCGGTCTCACAGCAATCGGGGCAAGCTGCATGTGTGTTTAGCGCGCCGCACACGCACATTTAGCCGTTTTTAGTGGCTCAGGAGTCCGCAGGTGCGATGTGTGTGTCACTCACTCTGGCTAATCCAACAAGGAGCCGGCTCCGAGAGCTGTCTTTAGCGACTGACACATCACTACATCATTCCCTTTCCTAATGTCCTGAAGAACGGTCTGGAGCGCAGGCGGAGTGTTTAGCTAACCTGCATGAAATGTCGACGACAGTTATCCAGAAAGTAGCTAAGGGTTACCAGAGATGTTTCTGAAGGTGTTCGCTAGGTACTTTTAAGTTAAAAAGTCAAGAAGGGGGTCTGAAAAGCTGCTAGAAATAGCGCCAAAGTCACTAAGTTGGCAACACTGTGGGAGGAGCGCTTCATTTGCAACTCAGGGCAGCGCAAGCGGGAGGAGCAAATAATCGGCTTGTTTTGTTTTTTATAATCGTTCAAAACTCAGATCGTAATCGTGATTAAAATTCGATTAATTGAGCAGCCCTAATTACAGTTTCTATATAAACGATTGCTCTTTTTGCTTGTCAGTGACTGGTGTAACCTTTAGCCCACATGTCTCCTTGTGAGATTTGTTTTCAGTGCTGTGGATGTTGTGTTGCACAAGTCTGTGAAGTGTTTCAGCGCATGATCTCATTTCAGAGCGAGTGAGCAGGTAGACAAGTCTGAAGTGACCCAACATGATAAATCACCTTTAAGGAAACCCCTGATGCCCCGTTTGCCTGCTCTGGTCTTTAATTTACTTTTGGGGGTGGGGGTGCATTTCTCAAAAGTTGCTCCCAGTGTGGGTTAAGAGGAAATGATCTGGCTACTTTACACAGGTCATATATGCAGACAGAAAAGAGGCCCCTGAAAGGGGCAGAGCTGTTGGTTGCTCTCCTCCTTTTCCTTTTTTCTCCCTCTTTTTTTCCTTTCTCCTACTCCATCGCTCCCTCTCTCAGGGAATGTGGTTCATGTCATTGGCTGTTCATGAGTACTCTGGGAAGTGACCATATTTGGAACTTAGGAGATGTTTGCAGCAAACGTGGGGGTGGGGAAAACGACCAAAATATTTAAAATATGTCATTCTGTATCCACAAGTTGTACTGATATGCTCCATGGCAGGCATGATCTGCTGACGGGCCTCCAGAAACCCCAGTAAAGTGTCTCTCATGTGTTGTTATGGAGCCTGGACTGCTATCTTAGTCATTGTTATCGGTGCATAGTTTTCTGAAGCAACTGCTGAGCTGTCTCTTGGTCTAAAATTCTGAAAAACATGTTGTGCAACTGGGGGACCCCCCCCCCCCCCCCACACACACACACACACACCACCTCTGTTCACCAAAGCTTGTGTGCACATCTCAGTTAATAGTGCATTTATTACTAGATACGTGCACCTTCTCCACAAATGTTCCACTCAGGCGATGCAAACATCCAGAGTAGTGGCACGTTCAGGAGGACTGGTCGGACGTTTGCAGTGCCACAGCTACGTTTGAAGCAACATGTGGAGTTCTGAAACCAGGCCGATCAGAGCTGTCCTCCATTTGTTTGTTTGTTTGTCTCCAGCGCTTTTAGATTCTCAGGCACTCGTTTTACTGAAGTGCACATTTGCTTTTTCCGACAATGCTCTGCATGTTGTGGAATGCCTTTGAAGTGGCCTACCATGTAGGTGTGTGTGTGTGTGTGTCTCAGTTCCTGACTGGCCCACTTCTGACCGGCCTAAGTTGTGTGTAAGATGTTCTGTGCACGAGAGGTTCAGGGCTCAAAAGCAGGCGGTTTTAGCGCTCCACGTGGCCCCTTGACCCACCCCCCGGAATCCAATTAATCAAAAAAGACAAATTGTGTTACGAAATGTCAGGATGCACGAACGCAGCGAATGAGGAGAAAAGCAGCACAACGCCAAGAAAAGATGTTTGTCCTCAGCTAGGGCCATTGCTTTATTTTCAGACACCTTATTTTCAATTATTGTAAATATTCAACAATTTTCCCAGAAAATAAGAGTCTCTATCATTTTAAATAATTTATGGAAGACTGTCAAAATACTTTGACACAGGTAAAAAAATGTCAATATCTATGATGATAGTTATAAAATTTCAGCTGTAAAATCTTTTAACAATTTAATTGTTAACAATTTTTTGTTCTTTGCACGAAAAACCCAGCCTGGCAAGCCAGACTAAATGAATGCATTTAGTCTGAGAACGCTCTTTTGGCGGCTCTCGGTCGTGGGGCGGGTTCTGCTGTTGCTTTCTAAAGATCTCCGCATGCTACTGGACAATGAACAACGTGATGTACTCACTGTAGCGGATGTCCGTCAACGAGGCAGTCTGCTGTTGAAGAAGATGAAAATACATCCTTTTCCAAATAAAGGACCAAAAAACATCTGTCTGCTCTTTATTCTAATAATCTAATAAACCCTAAGTCCAAATAGTCCAAAATTGATGTAAAAGTCGTTTCAAACGAATTGTCACCATCATGTTCTTTCTCCGTTGCGTCATCCCACTCAACAAACCAATAGAGCGCTGTGATTGGCCCACCATTGTGGATCAATCACAGAGCTCTATCAGTTTGAAACCCATATAGAGAGCTGTGATTGGCCCACCAAAATGCTGCTAGGGTGCCACAGAGGTTCCAATGGCGCATTACTAGTTCACTAGGCTACGAAAAACCTGTTTTTGTTTAATAACTTCAAACTGTACCGCACCATTCACCATACAACTGAGGTTAAACTAGGGCCTATTCTCAGTATGCATACTTGTCTGTACTTGTGTACTCACGTCCTTGTGAAACGTCATCAACGATGGCCCAAGGACTGTTCCAAACCTAAATA